CTTTTCCTTTTTCCTTTCCTTTTTCCTTTCCTTTCCTTTTTCCTTTTCTTTTTCCTTTCCTCTTTTCTTTCATTTCCTTTTCTTTCCTTTCCTTATTCCTTTCCTTTCCTTATTCCTTTCCTTTCCTTATTCCTTTCCTTTCCTTTCCTTTCCTTTCCTTTCCTTTCCTTTCCTTTCCTTTCCTTTTTTCTCCATCACTGGAGGTTTTGAAGAAGAGATTGGGCAGACCTCTGACCCTTCCTTCCTTCCTTCCTTCCTTCCTTCCAGCTGGCCAAGGTGGCGCTTCCTTCCAATCTGCCCCCCCCGGGGGGGGGTCAAGGGTGAAGCAGATCAGAGGCTGAGACCTCTCCAAGCTCAGCCCAGGACGGATGTGCTAAAACCATGCGAAGATTGCTCGGGATTAAGCTGGGCAGCAGATGGTGGCCCCGACAATGCCCTCAGCTCTGGGGAGGGGAAGGAAGGAAGGAAGGAAGGGGAGGGAGGGAGGGAGGAAGGAAGGGGAGGAAGAAGAGAAGGAAGGATAAGAGAAAAGTGGGGGGAGGGAAGAGATGGAAGGAGGAAGAACTGAAGGAAGGGGGAAGGATGGATAAGAGAAAGGGAGGAGGAGATGAACGGATGGAAGGAAGGAAGGGGAGGAAGAAGGGAAGGAAGCACAAACAGGAGATGGAAGGAAGGAGGCCAGGAAAACTGGGGCAAAACTCACCGAACAACTATCTCACTTAGCAACAGAACTTTTTGGGGCTCGGGGTGGACGTAAGTGGAGGACTCCCTGAAGAAGCCCTGCGCATAAGGCCGGAGGGAGAGGAACAGCCCGAGGCCCAGAGGTGGCCCCAGGGCCGCTCTAAGGGCCCCCGGAAGAGGGAATGGGGAGGGGGCTGTTAACGCATGATCCGCTCTCTTCCCGCCCCCCCCCCCCCAGGCCGAAGCTGAGGTCGCGTCCTTGAACCGCCGCATCCAGCTGGTGGAAGAGGAGCTGGACCGGGCTCAGGAGCGCCTGGCCACGGCCTTGCAGAAGCTGGAGGAAGCCGAGAAGGCCGCCGATGAGAGCGAGAGGTGGGTGAAGGTGGGCAGGTGGGCCTTGCTTGGTAAGGGGGGGGGAGGCTTCTGAGCGGCTTCGTCCTTGACTTCAAGACCGTCATAGGGCTGGGTCGTAAGTCGGGAGGGTCAAGTTATCACCTGACTGCCCCATCCCTCCCTCCCTTTCCTTCCCT